AAATCATTTTTCATTTTATGCCGTATGTTAAGAATTCTTCAAAATCTTCTAATAATGAATCGCAGCAGAAGTAGTATGGCGTATGTCTTATTATCCTGATCCTTGTTCTCCTTGTTCCTCGCTGAACCGGTTGTGAAGAAATGCGGGTGGTATTGGTGATTAATTTGTACTTCTGATTTTCTGGCGAATCCCTACTTAAGAGCCAGTAGAACCAAGATGAGTGTAAACATTAATGAACTGAACAGTTCTTTTCTTGATTGCAACAAATAGGAAATTTTAAGAATTGGTACGATGCAAAGCTAAAATGAATTTTTGCTTAAATTAACCTGATTTTTAGGAGTGGCACTCCTCGAATTTACCATTGAGAATCCAGAATCCATTGCCCTTTGCACAAGCATTTTCATCCGTTCGAAAATCCATTGATCATCCTCTTCACCAGGAATCTGTCAATGTAGAAAAATAATAATTGTATGAATTCAATAATAAAAGTCGTAATCATTTGAAAGAATCAAATCTTTACGAGATGGAGCAATTTTTGATCATCAAAATATTTCGCGCTAGGTAATGTTTTTTGCTTGAACTCTCTTATACGAGCATCAATCATCTCAACTCCTAAACCACGGTTCTCCATATGCTTTCTCAGCGTTGCTTCATCGTAATCAAGAATTAGAGCCATATTCACAGGTTTCACCTAGAAAACAATTTATAGATTAAATACAACTACAATGCATCACAAATGTATGAAATAAGCTTTGAACTTGGTCGGCCCATTAAAATAAGAATTTTTACCAATAAATCGTATGGAGATAGAAAAATAGATATCTCGCACCACCTTGGCTTTTCTATAACAGGCTTGTCCCCGAAAGAGACAGGGATGAAACCATGTTTTCATGAGAACAATCTCTGGCGGAGTAACTACCCATCTGCATTCATGAGATTTTCATGCAAGCAATTTCTGTTTTCCATATGACATAAATTGATAATTAAAAATAAACAGATTGCTTAAATCCAGAGAAAATTACCTCTCGTTCAAAATCTTCTACTTGGCGTGCTTCTCTTGGAAAACCTTCTAAGAAAAATGCCTTCGCATCGCTATTTTCGACCATTTCCCTTTTTACTAATTCAAGGGCAAGATTGTTGGGAATAAGCTGACCTGAAAAAAAATTTTTTTAAGTTGGATAAAAACGAAAAATTATAAAATTGAGCCCAGAAAATTTTAAAAAAAGATTAATTTTTGAGTCCAAAGTTTAATTAAATTTAAAGCAAGAAATAAAAAAATAAAGCAAAAAAATAAATTAAAAAATTTCTATCCAAAAAATTCTGAAAAAATATCTCTCCAATATCTCTTAAGTAAGAAGAAATTCACCTTTCTGATACCTTTCTGCAGCTTCTTTCCATTCAGGAATCTTATCTTTGTACTTAAGAATGGCAGCACGAATTAAATCAGGCATACATATATGAACGAGGCCATAATCGCTGAGAGCTTCTCGAACTCGAGCTGCATGCCTCGTCTTCCCACCACCAGGTCCACCTGTAAGAGTGAATTTTTTTTTCGTTATTTTTAAATCGATTATGGCAATTAATTTTTAATGTCAATTACGCAAAATGAATCCATCTGACTTTACAAATTTTTTGGATGAATGTATCGGCTAATAGGATTGAAATTCCATAAAATAGGAAAAAATCTTTCACCAAAGAAATTTAAAGATAAGAGCACATTTGAATGCCCAAGGCCATGCGAACTTAATTTTTAATGAGAGATTACTGGTAGTGAACTCATCCTCTGCAAAAGTGCGATCTAAGCTACGGTAGCTTAAATTTAATTGAGGTAATGCACGTTAGAACTCTCATAAAAATTTTTTGCGAATTTCAGTATCAAGCGAAGAACTAGCCCATAAATAAAATTATAGGCACATCAGGAATATTTGATGCATCTACTGATCGCACTGCGGAGGAAGGTCGGGTTCTTGAAACACGATCATCCTGATGACCTCGATTTATCTTACTGCAAATTCCTTTAATTTATAGTTTCCATAGAGGATCATAAAATTCTGCATGAAAAACATTGAGCAATATTATGAGGCTATTTTTCAAATCTATTTCAGTCACTTTGGTCGCATTATAGAGTAGAAATCAAATTTTCCAAATTTTTATCTCGCTATTTTTCATATCTTAGGTCTTTCTGGTTTTTTTTGCTTTTATGTATTTACCAAACCTTTGTCTGCTTCCCGGTGGTACATGATTCGAACCTCTTGGTCTTGACATCGGTTTCGTCGTTATTTGGGGTTTTTGTTCTAAAATTGTAATCCTATAATTTCGAAGCTTTGCAACTGGTGATATAATAACAGATGTATAAAAGTTTCTCATCATATAATTCCAACTAAATTACCTCCTAGATATTTCTTCAAACAAAGAGGATTCGGAACTGAATATTAGTCCAAATGGAGGAACCAAAATGTTCCAGGAATATCCTTATCAGGCTTATTTTTGGAACCAAGGCAATTGAAAGATCTGTATAAATTCATGATGAAAAATTTAAATTTATAAAAAATCGACGAAAGAAAATTGCCACTGAGGATTTCATTAGCTTTTACTTTTTTTCTTAAAACTGTCCACAATTCTGGTCAGGCACGATTTGCTGGGCTTTCGGATCAGATAAATTTTGTCAGGAAATCGCTTGACGATAGAAGTATAGCTATGTAATAAGCACCACAATTTTTGAAAACTTTAGCGGGATCAGCGATCAGAAATGATAGCCACTGAATGAAAATGTGACACAGTGCACTGAGCCATTTTACCTCTAATTACTTTAATTAATTCTGGACAAGGTAAAAATCAAGGCATTACAACTCGTCGTAGTTCAAGAAAAAAATCCGAAAATCTGGGAGAGAAAGCTGAAATCATGAATTTCCAAAATTTCTGGATTATGGCCCAAATTAAATAGTCTTCAATTCCAAGTCGGCCGATAATCGAATTTTAGACGCATTTAACCAAATAATATATTCATCGAGAATAATGCGATAAACATACCTATTGTCTGCCTACCAAAGATAATTGGTTAAGGTTAAAGATTTATGTGTCTTATGAAAAAAAAATTAAAAATATTCTTTCATAGTTTTTTCGTTAAATAATATTTTCTGGTTTTGACTTTATCGCGAAAAAAAGGGTCAAATTTCTTTCTGACTGGTTATTCTGCATTAAGCTGACAATGGGCTGGTGATAATAGACTGATAATAGATAATGTTAGGCTAGATAAGTTTATTAAAGGTGGTTTCACATAGTCAGTCAACTTGCTTTTCTTCTTGCATTTGAAATTTTCTAATTCTTTTGGTCGTTTTCTAAAAATTTATAAATTTTTCCGTACATACTCCATAAATTTTGCGAATATAAAAATTGCAGCCAATTTTCTTTTTCTCCTTTTAGCATCCACCAATTCTTGTTTGGCTTCTTCCACTGGTTAATAATCATAAGATTCCTTTGTCAGAGAATCACTTGAGGGCAGTTTTGATCAGTCCCAGCTAATTTTTGCAAATTTTTCAATATAATTATTTCTTTAAATATTACGCAACAATCTTTCATTCTGTTGACATTTATTCCAACCATAATTCCTCCCTTCCTAATACTTCCCATCTCCCCTCTTCCTACAACAAAGACGAGATAGGACAGCAAAATTCGTGAAATTCTTCAAAGGTCTTCCAACTACTTCGCTCAACGAAAGCTCTTGTTGAAAAATCTTATTTTTAAAAATATCTTTCGGCACATTTCGATTTATTAATACACCACTTGTCAGTGACTGTAAAAAAAACTTATCTATGTTTTTGCATGAAGCTTAAAATCACAGTTTTCAGCTTCACTATTCTTCAGTAGAAATTAACCAAAATATTACTTAAATTTAAAATTCTTATATTTTTTCGTCAAATTTTTTGCGAAGAAAATGTAATTCGGCTCAAAATCAATGCAAATTTCTGCCAAATCTAATCCAAAGCACTTTTTTAACTTTATAATGCACTTGCACTTGTGATGAGCTAGTTCATCACGAAAACTGCCATCATGTAATAAATATATATTTATGTATGCATATAACAGATTTATTAAAATTTGAAAATTTGATTTGATTTAAATAAATTATGAACATATTTTAATGAGACAAGTAAGCCTTAGCTAAATCTACAATCTATTTTTGTATCGAAGAAGGAAGAGCTGACCTTCACCAGATTCTTCGCTGTGGTCAATTACGTCTTTGTTGACAAAAAAATCCCATGTGAATTCGGCATTTGGTTGCTCTCGTATTTTATTAATTGCTTCTTCCAAAAATTCAATTGGATCATCCGGTTTGTTGTAGATTAGTCCTGTGATCAGCCCCTGCAATAATTAATTTATTATTTTTTATTTCCAGACCATTTTTACAATTGGCTTTGAACCACATATCACGCATATCGATTTTAAATGGAAAAGGAATAGAGGAATAAAAGGAATTCATGGACATCCATTTCCCTCATTATAAAAGAACTTTAAAGTGTTTTTTGAAATTTTTAGGAAATTTTGTGCTTTCCCATGGTGCCTCAATAATTTTTGTACTTTAAACATGAATGTTGTGAATTTTTTGGGCAAGTCGCTGTTTTCTTCGAATACTTGTTTTTCATAACAATATTCATATAGGTCATATCCAGTAGGCTATGGCCATGGCTTGATTTCTAGATTTCTGTCTACCAATGCAAGCTAATCACAAATCTTAATTAATTCTTGGATTGATTTTATCTGCTAGTAAAAATTCTAGGTCAACGGTGAAAAATGAACATAGGAAATTGTCCTATAAAAAGGATCAATACCAATTTTGCGCAGCTTTTCCGCTAACTTTTGGGAGCATTAAAAATCGTTTTTCATTTAATTCTTTCAACTTCTATAGAGAAACGAAAAATTCTCGATAAAATTCATATTTGTCTACTCTTATATCGTTTTTCTAACCGATTTTATATTCTTTTCTTTCATACTTAATTCCTATCATAATGCTTATAATCATCTTTTTTGTTGCTTTTTATATGGACTATAATTTTATGCAAACCAACAGAATTGGTTAGAATCGGTCGCATCAAGACAATTAATTAATTAGTTATTAGTGAAAATAACTTTAAAAAAACAAATATTGTGGTGATATTCCATAGTGACAAAATAGGAATTTGTTGAATTCGTTTATATGGATAACCTTTTTTCAGCTAACCATGAATTATTGCAGAAAATCCATAAATAACGTCTTCAACAGACCAACAGATTGCTAAACGTCGTAATGTGTAATATGAGCAAAGTGTCACCGTATTTTTAATTTTGCTTAACCAAATATTTTTGCTTTACTTATTTAATGAGCCATTTTAATCTTTAATTCGATGATATTTTCGCTTCTGGCTAAATTTATTTTCTATTTTATTCACTCTGGTCGAAAAGTGTGTGTCGCCTCGACTGGGAGGAAGCACGATGGATTTGATCCTTGTTCTTTATAGCATTAAGAATAACAGTAAGAGTGGCTATTGCTATGGTTTAACCCGCATTTCTATTCCAAAGTGACTCTTCGAAGTAGTCTCACCTAAAAGTCAGTAAACCAGGCAGCCAAATTATAGATGGTGAGTGCTAGAACAACAAGCGGATGACAGAATCGACTTCAATGGAGAAATTCAGCATTTTTGATTTCTCACACCTCTTAGATGGAAAATATTTGTAATATTACAAATGAAGAAACGAACTGAATTTCAATTCGATTAGTTTTTTAACCTTTAAAATTTCACTTTCACTTTATTAAATGTTCAGTTATTTGCAACTGTAATTTAATAACGCATAAATAGACTTCTCCATTTGTGCACTTATTGAAATAAAACGGTTGGCTTAGTAGGCTTAGTAATAGTAATAAAACGATAAAAATATGAGAAGCAAATCAATAATGCAGCGATTATCTTGAAAAATATTAAACACGGTAGTATGAACGCTTAAAATGGCATTGCTAGGACCATAAAATGAAATGCTAAACGTAATGATATAAACAAGCTGCATTGGTTCAATTTTCACTCACGATGGAACCCATTAAAAGAAAAGAGGAACTAAAGAGAATCATTGTCTACAACTTCTCATTAAAAGAAGTAGTTAGCTCACCATCTTTGGCTATGCCAGTTCGACTGGTTTTAGTTTGGTTGAAGATTCTTGTCAGAGAATCATCTATTAGTTAGAAAGGAAGTTATTCACCAGAACCATAGATTTTTAACCGTAGATTTTTAAAAGACAGTTAACTCAGAATTAAGAGCCAAACCTCTGCCTTTCAACATTATAACCGAGCCAACATTCACTACGCTATCCCTCTCCCTCAACTGCATTCCAATTTCCTTTAATAAAAATCCTGCTATGAAAAAATTCAAAGCAAAAATGGTAATTTTTTTGATTCAGACAAATATCAGAAGGCAGATTTGCAGAAATGGAAGGCAAATCTTGCAAAATTAAGTATATTGAGAAAAACATCGGGCAATGACTCCAAAAAAATATTTTTCCTTGATCGATTTTATAGCCATTATGCAAGATATATATATATAAGATATATATGTATGTATATACATGAAAAGGTGGAAAATTGTTTATTTAACTAGAAATTTTAATAAAATCACAGCAAGCACGAAATGATGATATGCTTTAAAAAAATCAAGAAATGCTTTATTTTATACTAGTTGTTCTCAGTGGGAGTCGTGGAAAATTTCTGGGAAGTCACAGGAAAAATTGGGAAAATTATCGGGTTCCACAAGCCATAAAAGAATAAAGAAGTTTTTAAATAGAATTCAAAAATTTTCTATTTTGAAAAATCAGCTTTAAATGTCAGCTCTAGTTGAAAAACCTTTAACGAGAAGGAACATAGTTAAAAAAAGAAAACGAAAACAAGAGGCCAATCACATTTACCGAATTTAAAGAATTTCTAGTCAAATATACTGAATAGAAAAACCTGCATGTTAACAATCGCAATTCAACATTCAAAATCTTCTTATTTTGGATTTTTATGAAATAAGTGCAAATTTTCCTCAATTTAAGGTTCAATTTTTTAGCATTTTTTGTTTTGAGTTATTCTTAAATGAAGGAATTTTTCTCGAGGAACAAGATTATACTCGTTGATTTGAAAAACGTTTCCTCACTTTACCTTGTAGTTTCTACCATTTTTGAGCCCTCAATCCAATCTTCACTTGAAGCAGAGAGGGAAGTTGAGAGAGAGAAAAAATTCATACCGATGCGAATTAAAATAGGAAAATTTATATCCACATTTTTATATTAATTTAATTAGTATTAATTAATATTTGATTAGTTATTGTCTAGTATTTAAGCCCAGGTTCGGTTCTTTCAACTGATTAATAGTAAGATGTACCAAGGAATCATTTAAAAGTAAAAATATTGATCCATCCTCCATCCTTAGTATCAATCGAATACTGCATAATCTAATGACTTGGTTCCTGCCAATGTCAAGAATCTTGAAGCATGATGCTTGAAATGATAATCTAAGCAATATCCCACATACCGCGCGAAGCAATTATGATTATATATTTTCAATTTCAATTTCAATTTATTAGAAAAACTCTTATTGAATTATTGAATTGAATTTAAAGCAGATTCATTCATTCCTAAATATTCTTATTCTTATAGTCTTATAACTATTTGCTGAAATGAATAATTTAATAATAATTTAATAAGCTAAGATTTAAAAAAAAATATGGGCATTTTGAAAAGAATTTTAACTATTTTTCTGCTTTATTTTAAATTATTTTTGCAAATGAAGAAATAAAGATTCTGATTTAAAAAGATTTGTTCAAAGTGCTTGCAGTAAATAAATCGTGACTTCTGATATTATCTTGGTGATGAAAGCATTATTTGCCAACACATATTTTAACCAATAAATTAATAGTGAATGTAGGTTTCTATGAAAGTAAATTGCTGACCGAAAAGCCTTTATTTCTTGCCTACTGCAATGTAAATTTACTGGGACACATTACGGGATTAGATTGCGAGTGGAACCTTGAAGATTTAAGTCCCCTTTTCTCTCTCTTTCCTCTTGTAGGATTAAATATTCAGCGTTAATGAAATTCGGATTACACGAATTCTCTAATAAGTACTTCGACATTCTGCGATATTTGATTTCTTAAAAAGCAAAGTTTATCAAACTTAACTTTGCTAAAATCTAGTTTATCGAAAAATTTCTGCTAATTCTTTCCGAGAAAAAAAATGCATCAAGTAAAAAAGACAAGAAATATGCATCTAAAACTATTACCTCAAATAACTGTGGAATAGAATGCTTCTGCAAATAACGCTTTGCTTCGGCGCCCATTTTGCTAACAACTTTCGAATTTTTTATTTCAGTTTCCTCTTAGATTCAGTTCTGAAAATTCAGATCTCCTGAATTCGGTATTATTCGTTATTATAAGCAGTTTGTTAGTTATTGACTGACACTTACCATTTTTGTTTACGCTCGTTCCAACGATTACATTTTTGCGAAAGGAACTATTGGGGAATAGAAATTTTGGCCCGCAACACATTATTCATTCGTGCCAGTGATAGGAGCCGAATTATGACATGGTTGAAATGATAAGTAAATGACCACCTTATTTCCTCTTCTAATTCTACCCACCATTTCTTGTTTGCTTTGGTCTCTACTGGCTGTGAAATCCACTCGCCCTCTTATTTCGAATGATTGCAACCAACAAATTACTGCGCAGTAGGAAATTGAAATTTATTTTATTAGCGAATGTAGCGATATATGTTTATTGCAAAAATTATAAATTTTCGACTCTATTTTAAAAAGAATAAGAAATATTTTCGATAGAGAATTAAGGTAATTCACCTTATCTAATTGATTGCTTCGATTGTCTGCTTTACAGAATTTTTTTCCCAAATAAGACTTTTATGATAGAATGTATGTTTGAGAAGCAAAAATGAAGTCTTAAATTATCTCGAAATTTGCTTTAAAAAATCAACGAAAAAAGCTTTTTCATTAAAATATTTAAGGAAATAATTCAAAGGTAATGAAATCAACAAGTTGGATTCATCGAAATATAATAAATTTCAAAACGTTACTATGGAAATGCATTAGTATTTCCTTGTATTATATCCTTGTACTGCGGAAAAGAATCTATGATAATAAATTTGATTAAAAGCATTATTCTTCAACACGCCATAAGGCAGAGAAATCAATACTGGAATACTTTGCAGTACTGAAATGCTACGACAGATGAACTTATAAGTAATCAATTTGAGACGTTTGAATAGTTTTCAAAAATACATAATTTTTTTCGCTGAAATTCTTTTTCTGAAAATTTGTTTGCTATAATAATAAAGCGGAAAATTTCTTCTTCATCCGCTATGAAGTTGAATTTTTTCACTGCGAATGATCAGGGGGACGGACCCATATATAAGCCCATTAAGCGACTCGTATATAACTAAATTGTGGGGCGAGTTTAACCAAAAATACTCAGTGCTAACCACTTGCCCACATAATTTTGGAATCATTTGTTTGATTTTGTTGCTATTTGCCAAAATTGCTGTTCATCCCTTCCAGAGATCAGTATTTAAAAAAAAGTGTTTGTGCTTTCTTGTTGATTCCGAAATCAGCTACCCCCGCTGTTCAGTTTTTTTATTTCTTTGATCACTAGTTAGAGCTATTAACAGATTTTTAATGAGTTTTTTTCCATTTTTTATGTTTTATATTTTCTAGCAATTGGAATAAATTTCGCTCGAATCGAACGACATTATTCAACTGATTCTTGTTTTGATTGCTTTGAAATGAATGGATTCTTCTTTTGCGATGGATATTAGTGAGGATTAAAAGTTTTTTGAGGATTTGAAGATATGAAGTTTTTTTGAGTGATTTACAAGTACCATTGAACCGCTAACGGAAAAAAAAGAACAAGCAACTGACTGACATCTTTTTTTGAATAACACTGATAAGCGCTTCCAAAATAGAAATATCGAAAAATGGTTGCAGCTTATTATTCAACAATACTCCTTGTGATTGCCTGAGCCCCACAACAAATAAATTTTATTTTCAATTTCCATAACAAGGAACAGCAATACGATTTTTTTGAAAAAACACTGTACTCGTTAAGAAATTAATTAATTTGCAAAAAAAGTCAAGGAAAAAGCATTTTTGCGAAAATCCATGAATTCATAAAAAGACCCATGAAAATTTTTTAAAAATTTTCTAAAAATTTCATGCTGCAATCGAATAATTAAGTCTATTAATTTTTTGAAAAACTATAAAGCGCCTTTATAAAAGAAAAAAATATTTGTATTTTGCCGAAATGATGATATTTGTGATAAGCAAAAATGACAACAATTGCTGGAAAAGATAATATTAAAATTACTTCAAAAATAAAATAGAAGGAATAGGTACGATTCAATATAGTTAATAAAAACTCTGCCGATAATTTAATTAAAAATTCCATTTTCGATGACATCAAAAAAGATATTTAATGGCACCAAAAATTGCAAACATATATACAAACCACAGAAAAAATTGCCGGAATGTTATAAACAAAAGTTTAAAAATGGATTCATTTCGATAGAATATTTTAAAATTTTCATTAATTGCAAATTATTGAAAGCAAATTATTAAATTATAAAAAATGACAAAAAAATCGCAGTATAAAATTGAAGTAGCACTATTCCATATATTAATAAGCACAGAGGCAAATTTAGAACGCAGCATGGTCCACTGAAGAAAGAAACAACGAAAAATAAATTTTAATAACCACTAGCATATTTCGGCCTTACACCAGCACGCATTGGAGGAGGTGGTAGAGGTGCATATGGTAAAATTGGTCCATGGTGTGGATGTGGTGGCGAAAAAGATGGATGGTGAGGGAATGGTGGGCGTATTCCAGCTCCACTGAGAAAGAGTGGTGGAGGTGGCGGAGGAGTACCAACCCAGCCAGGTGGGATGAATGGTGTTGCTGGTTGAGGTGATGGTGCATCACCTCGCAGAAAACGCTGCAACTCTTGTTCCGTATCAACGATCATTACCAAAAATGGTGATCCTGGTACGTGTTCACCATGCCATTTGACTTCCACCTAGAAAAACTTTTTTTTGAAAAATAATTCTAGCCTTTGAAATGTGCAACAGATGAATAAATCAAATTTATTCTATCGTTCAAAATATACCCGAACTTCAACTATAATTATTTCTAGTCAACATAAATTTTTCATATGATACATTTTTATTATAGCATGATCTACTAAATCAGTGATGGGTGAAGGCCGGATTGGAGGTCAAGATCTCAATAAAATTTTTTGCCTTTATAACTTTAGCAACATTGTGGATAATAGAAAGAGATACACGAAAATAAATAAAGGAAAAGGAAAATAAATAACCTGATAATCACCAGGCTCTTTTGGCTCATATTTGCAGTGAATAGTTCGTTCTTGTTTTTTTTCTCGTTGCATTTCAACATTAAATGCACCTTTTGGTCCCCTGACACGAACAGTAAGCTGACCAGCACCAGCTCCTTTCGTTTCCACGACGAAATTTGATTTGAAACTATTTTAGAAATATAAATATGATATAAATTCTATGTTTTAGAACAAAACCCGTAGGAAAAAATGGAAAATATACAACTAAAAAATGAGAAAAATAAATCAAAGGCATACGTTGAAAGTATTCCATGCTCAATACCTGGTCCATAAACTCGCACCTTCGAAGCGTCAGGAGCATGAGAAACATTCACTATGAAGGGACTACCAGGCACATGCTCATCCGAGTATTTAATCACTGAAATTAAAATTAACATTTTATATATAAATCCAAATTAATATTAATATTTTCCAAATAATCGAAAACTTGAAAGCAATAATAAGTAAAAATTCAGGAACCAACCTAATGTGTGTTTCCCTATTTCTGATGGTTTTACGGATAATGTATAAGTGCCATCTCGGTGGTCATATAATTCGCAATATGCCAATTTCGATGGCCCCATACATTGCGCAGAAAGTTGACCTTAAATAAATAAATATAACGTTTTTGAATCTGAAATGATGGCGAATTTGGAACAAAAAAAGAGATGTGCAATTATCATGAAGTCAACACTATTCCAAACTTATCGAAATCAACGATTATATTTGCAGCAATCCAGGAACCAAGGACAATAGCCTTGCAGATTATATTATTCCAATATCAACTATTTCACTACTCCATATTAAACAGATACTTAATATATACTTCTCTTGAAAGTCTCTTTTTATACGTCTCTTGAAAGTTTTACAGTTTTCGTGACATTTCATTTCCGACTGGATGAAATAACAGCCAATTCATTAAAATTAATCAGCTAATATCAGCTTGTTTTTCTCATTAACCAATTCGCATTATCCGATCAGGTAATGCTGGAGGCTACTTCTCTACCCATTGACCCAGTGATCCTTTCGTGAAATATTCTTACAATAACCGATAGAGCAAGCTTAAGCAGAAATGGAAAAGATGAACCATTTACTTACTTAATAATCTGATGTTTGTCCTGGACCCATTCACTATAAAACTACTTACCAAAGATTATCCTTCTATTTAAAAGTGCTAAAAATGCTGAAAAGATTTATATAATGTGTAATGGACTGATAAATGATATTAACCAGGAGGAGCTTTTCTCGTATTTATGACCGTCTTTATATCCTCATTGATTACTCCAAACTTTAATGTGCTTGTATCGACGTTTATAAGCTCAGCAGCGCTCGTGTGAGAGTCGACATTGACTTTGAATGGTGAACCACGTATTTGACGACCATTCCACATAATCTAAAACAGAATTGCAACGATCGGGATCTTGGCTAAAGGAAAAAGCGTTAAAGGTTATTAAAAAGCGTAATCTCTAACCTGAAGCTCGTATTTACCAGATATCAACGGAGTATAGCTAGCTTTATACACATTGTTACCGAGATGAATTAATCGCACAGGTACATCTGCTTTCTGGCCGATTAGTGAACAGCTTATATGACCATCTAAAAATTTTTTGACTAATATGAGTAATGAACAGCGAAAAAGGCTGAACCTATTTTTATTTTTATATATTTCAGTTCCCATTTTAAAGAACAAAATCCTAACCTTGGTTGCTGTCCGAGCCGTCGATAATGAATTCTGATTGTTCCTTTACGATTGCTTTGGTCAAACCGTCTCCACGAGCAATAATTCTTTGATGGTCATCTTGTCCATCTTCATAACGCTCGCTAAAAGTGTAAAATGAATATTGACTGGATGCCATATCATTGCAAAATTCCGAATGTCATCTGCATAAGCAAACCTGGATCTACTCCTCGAACGATGATCGATTTCGTCACTTAGGGGCATAACACGAGATGTTGACGGTTGCTCCGTTTCTGCGATAATATGTATAGGAAAAGCACTCTCAACAGCTATGTCTGCCCAATATAAATAGATGTTAAACTTTCCAGCGATTTGAGGATTGAAAATTATTCGGTATTTGCCATATCCCAGCGATTCAACCTCTGCAGCGTCCATGACTTTACCGCTCCCATCACGAACTTCCGCTCGAAGTTTACCTGCAAGAAATTCAAAACAAATAAAGCAATACACAAAGCTCCTCAAATATGTGGAGCAAAATGAGTTGAATCCTAATTGCTACGAACGAAAATTTAAAAGCTCCCAAAAAATTTGTCATGAAATGGAATTATGATACTTAACTGAATAAATATCTAAAAAAATGGATATCTATAGAAATCTCAAAAATAGCATTTGTTCATATTTATAACGCAGTAGATAGATATGTTGAGAAAATGTAAAACCAGGTCCGGCAGCAGTTGCATCAACATCAATGATATTGTTTTGTTGAATAGGAAAGTGGAATGTGCCCTTATCATCAGCTAATTCATCATTTATCAAGACTTTTCGAGCATCCACAACGCTTACATCAAATGGACTGCCTAAAAATATCCTTCAGGCTAATCTTGTTCAAATATGAAAATTAAAAAACTATGAAAACCTTTTGGCCGAGCTTTTCAATTATATTAGAAACTTGAATTATGGTGTTATTAGCTGAAGCTTAAACTTACCAGCGATAGGTTTATTGTTCATTTCCGCATTGACCATATATTGGCCAACTTCAGAAGGATTAAAAATAATTTCTACATTCCCATCTGATCTCTTGTTGGTTGCAAATCGTGCCTTCGATCTATCTGGTCCTAAAAATGGTTCATAAAAACTGATTGTAGCCCCTTTCTTTTTTTAATTTTATAAGGCCAAGACACACCTAGCGAGAAAAAAAGAAATTTCAAAATTTCTTTATTTCCTCTTCCTCTAATTTCTTTCTAAGCGAATAAAATTTTTAGTGAGATAAAATAACTTGAAATTTCAGAAATTTTTAAAATTTATTTGAATTATCAATTATTTTACTAAATTTAATTTTAGATGTATTTATTCATTCAAAATAGAAATTCCAGAAAAAGTAGAATCATAAAAACTATTTTAACAAACCTCTAATATCCACTTTCAAAGCACCTTTCTGTTTTTTGGAATCAAAAATGAGAATAACAGGTTGTTCCACTTCAGCAGGTCTATTTAATGCATCGCCGTAAAGTGAAGGTTCTCCTTGCTCTTCAACAACAAGCATTTGCGGAGAACCTAAATTATAAACATCTCTGATTTTTTGCCTTGGAAATCAATTTCATAACCCTTCACAACCCTTCAAAAAAACTTATTAATTACTATCATTATAAATAAGGTACCGTTAACAACGAATCCAGAAAGTTTTGCCGTAAGTTTATGTTGACCAAGTCTAGTTGGCAGAAATATTATTCTTTCTTCACCATTCGGTGACTTGGTTTTTTCTATTTTGAGTGGCTGACCTGTTGGATCAACTATCTCCACTTTAAGTTCGCCGTTTCCAGCATTCTCACGTTCTACTATAATCAAATCATTTTTTCTTCTATGATAAAGACTAATAATATACAAATTCGTTTAATGTCGCTTAACCTGTTAAAACAGCTTGCTGTCGAAGAATAAGTGGTTCTGTATTTCCTCTTATAAAGACTTTACGAGGATCGACAACTTCACAATGGAATGGACTCCCAGCGATTGGAACATCACCAAATGTTACTTCAATTTTGTGTGATCCTAAAAAATGTTTGAAATTAAGTCTGATTTGCTTTCCAAATATTGAAATATTGAAAAGAATCTTTTTGTTCTCTATTAATCAGGTTGGTTCTCCTGAAACTTTGAAAATATTTACCAATATTTTCGGGAGTAAATTCAACCCAATAACTATCGTCATGTTGTTTATAACAGCGAACAGGCAATGGACTTCCATGCGAATCTGGAAAATGAAAGCCATACATAATATAGTCAGAAATCTTGCATGGACACAAATAACGGATAATAAAGGACAGCGCATGCCATGTGCGAATAAAAAAAAGTTAAAGCAATGAATAGTACAATGCGAAAAAAGTGCATAGATGATTACCTGAAATACAATAAAAATAATAAGTATAAAAGTTTTCCGAAGTGTCTTATAACTTTTTAATAGTAAATGGATAAAAAAAATTTGAGAATAGCTATCTCGCACCGAAAATTTCTTAGCCAAAGTCTAAGCTAATTTGGCTGAATGTATTCAATTAGAATCAGCTCAAGCAAGAAAAAGAAAAAAGAGACAGATAGTCAGTTAAGAGAAAGAGGCATAGCTTGATCCCTAACATGACCCAGGCTTCCATTTTAATGACAAGTCTATTCTTGTCAAGAAATAAATACGAATAGAATCTATGATCTTGATCCTAGGGTAAGCAACATATTGTTCAACCACCTATCCATTCTTAGTCCAAAAAATTAAAAATTTTAATTTTAAAATGTTTTGCTGGAAGAAAAAGGCCGGAAACCTCTCACAAGTACATCCAGCTCTCGGCGCGTATTGTTCCCAACAGAAACTTCGAAACGTGCAATTTTCCCCCGTTGCGCACGAGTTAATGCATCACCACGCGCACGTACTGCACCCATATCATTGACAATGCATTCATAAGGACATTCTAAAAACAAATTCTGGGCTCTCAACGTTAAAAAAATTCATTCTAAAGATTTGTAAGCCATAAAAAATAAACTGTTTGTAAAATTTTTGAAACAACCAATTAAATGCGTTGAAAATTATCGAAATATGATAATAATTGCAATACATCCAAGTACCGAATTTATTTCAAAATGATAACAATGGCAAAAATTGATAAAATTGATTGAATGCTTTAGGCTTAATTTCATATGGAAGATGAATATACCTGGAAGAAGAGTGCCGTCAACATATACATCAATCAAATAAAGTCCCACTTGGTTGGGAGTGAATGAGCAAACATGTAGGCCTTGCTTAATTTTTTTCACTGTGCACGGAACCTCACTGTTGTCTTTGGTCACTCGAACTGAAGCTTCGCTACCACCTGAATTTGACCAGTCCACTGAAAATTTTTCAATATTTTTAATTATCATATATCATTTATCAACCTATCGAATTTATTATATTCTATAGTTTGGACGCAAAAATATTTGTTTGATCGAGCATTTATATTCAGATTAAGGAAAAAAATAAAACAAGTTGAAAAATTTTCGAACCAACCGTTGAATCTCTGTTCCACTCCCACTGCATCATTTTTCAATCCGATTATTCGTACAGCACTGAGGTCAAGAATGGTAACAGTAAAAGGACTCCCTCTAATATGTCGCTCATCAATAGTAACCGCTATTTTATGTGTACCTTCAAAAAGTGGAGTAAATTCTGCTTCGAATATATCATCTGATATCTTTTTCAGCGAAACAGAAACTGGATTTCGTTCTTGGTCTGTAAAAAAAAGAACATTTACCGAAGTGTTTAAATTCATACTACTCCAGTAATTCCAGTTAAAAATTAGCCATTTGAAATCTGTAATGGGACGATTAATAGCAATTCTAGTTTCCCAGCTGAAAATGAATTTTTGAATTAATTTATTATTTTTGCATCGGTGAACTTACCAGTAACTGCAACAGCTACAAGTTTTTTAAGACTATTGTTGTCGATACGCAATAATACTTTGTAAGCTTGTCCAACAAAACCTTGGTCGATATCATTGACCAAAGACACACCAACACCCGGCTCTACGACTTCTATTGTCTTTGATTCGATTAATTTTCCGTTCAGAGTAATATTTACAGAATATCGACCAACGTTACGGAATCTTCAAAAAATCAGAATCATTATTGAATGGATATGGAAAATAACAATGTGCAGTGAAAAAATTATTTTAAAAAATATATTCATTTGCTTGGAAAAAGAGGATCGACAAAAATTTATGTCGCCTACTTGCAACTGGCCTTTATTCCAGTATTATCAACACTGGTTCGAACAGGAATTGTACGCCCATCCTCGCCACGAATTTCAATGTTAATATTTCGTCGATTTGCAAGATCAGTCTCAGCTAAAATTTTTTTGATCTCAAAAATTTCATAAGAAAAAAATTGCGAATGATAAAGCTCGAAATAATGAATGAATCAAAAGATTCTTGATTTTGGTTTCATGATCATTCCATATGGTTTATAGAAGTTGATTTATTCATGCAAAATGCCAAATGGACCATTAAATGCCATCTCTTTGCCAATAAATACTACAGATGGTATTCGAGATATCTTCGGTTGACCGGTGACTTCAATTACAAAGGGGCTACTGTTCATTTCTTTCCCATCGATCTCAATCCTTACACCATAAGTTCCTGAATATATTTCATCATTTTTATTTTCTCTTTTTTAAACAACCTTTGATTCTTTATAATTTTTTGCTCATTTGCCATAATCTTTTTCAAATTTGATTAAACATGATGTAAAAAAAATGAAAAAAACGATAAACCTGCTGTTTGTGGAACAAACTGCGCAAGGTAACCTGTCGATACTCTTTCCATTTGCACGCAAACTTCATTACCTATCGGATCTAAAAGACGATCAAACACATGGACAAAGACTAATAACAATTGTGCTTGCAGACGATCACAAAAAAAGCACAGCAAACAACGAAACAATTTTGATAAAACGGAATAAGTGGTGCAAAAAAAAAATTTTGCATAAATGCCAAGGGGAATGACGGAGATCTAACACATTTGGGCAAAGTATAACGAAAATCGTCCAAATTAAACCAAATGGGCTTCAATTTTTTTGTCTAGCAAGTACAATCGAGGTTCTTTCCATTTCTGTCATCCTCTTGACAAAGAAAAATTTTGAAATTTGTTAGTAACCATACCAATAACGATAACATTGCAATCGGCATCGCGCCCTCCGGTATCGACAGTGAATCCTTTGACATTTCCGACCTAAGGATCATTTTTTCGATATTTGATCAGATACTAACACTTAATCACAAATGAAAAATACCTGAGCAGATGAAATATCTCCAACAAGTCGAGCTTGTTGAGCAATATCTGGACCTGACGATAAAGGTACTACAGCAGCAACACTTTGTGATACTTCGGAGACTGGACATACCATTGGTGAACCTTAAAATGCTCCAAGCAATTCTTCGATAAGACAAGATTTTACATAAAAGCTATATTTATGCTATACGGCTATAAAAGCTATATCGTGTGTAAGAAATCTAATACTTACACAAACATAGGAATCCTGATGGTAGGAGCTACTCAGGACTATAACCCTTGAGCTGGAAAAGTGGGATTGCAGATTGCAAGGAACAATATCGAAAATTTCTATACAGAGCAGCGCATTGATAGAGCTTAATATATCGCTTAGAATTCTGCAATTCCCAAGTCTTCGACAGATGATCCAAACTGAACCAATGCCACCCACAAGAGATGAGATACAATTTTTTAAATGTATTTGAGTTATGAATATATATATATATATATATAAATGAAATTATAACAAACCAGGAATTGGTTCGCCATTAAATCGAACACTTATTACATGGTCTTTGGCTTCTTGTGGTGTGAATGAAACTTTAAACTTTGCCTGTCCTTCAGCCTAAAAAACATAGATAATAGATAATTCGACGCTACCATAATGCTCGACAAATTAATAATGCAAAGGGAAGAAAAAAACTAGCAAGTTCATACCTGAACAAAGTTTGGGACATTACGATTATCAACGCTGACAATAATTTCCATGTTGCCAGCCCCAGCTCTCGCAGCATCTATAGTAAAAGTGCATGGTCGCCCAACATAAGCAGCATCGACTCGAGATAACCTCGCACATTTTGCATCAAATGCTTTCGATGTGAATGGTGAACCATGAACTGGTTTACCGGCATGTTCGATCTCAATCTATTGAAAAAGGTAAATTAAATGTGAAAAAAAAGTATTCTCTTAATAAAAGGGATAAAAACGGCAAGGGTGATAAAACTTAAAAATACCTTGAAATAAGAAATATTGTGAATTTTTATAAAATGGTGCAAATCTAATATAAAAAATTTGATTGAAATTGGTCGCGTTTAACTAACCTGATGATTGCCAACGATTTGAGGAGTATAGTTGATGATGAACCTACTATCAGCTGCATTATCTTTATCGACGCGAACAGGAATGTTGTTTCCTTGCGAATCAGTTATTCTTACTGATGGAATATCGGACTGATCTCCTTCGATAAGAACGAAGAACTCTGATGTCTGGCCTACTGGAACTCGTTCTAATCCTGGGCCGGAGGCCGAAATAGAATGGGTCGAAACTAAGTGACATATAAATGGGCTTCCTGAAAGGAAAATCGTTATATTGCCTCAATGCTAATTGAATTTCCAAGAATAAGAATAATTTACCTGGAACTGGTTCATTATTAAATCGAACAGAAATCGTATGATCGACTTTTTCTCTAGGTATAAATGAAATGTCGTAGCGATGTTGGCCAAGTGACTGTGCCATAGACGGAACGCGACCCTCATTTACAGCTACTTCCAAATTACCAACTCCAGCTTCGCTCGCATCAACTACAAAAATTTTATTAAAGAGGGTTCTGATTACCAAAAAAATTAAAAATTTAAATGTGTAATAGATTGGAAAAATAGATATTTTCTTAGAGATATTTGTCAACTTTACCAATAATTTACCAATAAAATGCACTGCTTGCTCGACGATGCCATTTGGAATATTGCCTACACCAATTTTCGCAGGATCATATGCTCGACAAGTAAATGGACTTCCTTGTACATCTATACCACCACACTTGATATCTACTTCATGATCACCTTTAATATCAACCTTCAATTAATTAATATCGACCACATTGCTTAGATTATAACTAGATTATTTTGTGTGACGATTCTTAATTATTAATTATCAAAGTTACGATAAGCAATATTCTAGAAAAAATGGAAAATTTCGTACCAACTTTAACTGGAATGAATTCAACTTTTTTTCCACCACTTTCATGGTCCGAAATCGAATAATCGATGAGATTCTTTGATGGATCTGTGAATAAGAATCTATGGAATATCGCGTTGTGCAAAACTATGATTTAAGCTATAAAAACAAGCTACTTGCCCAACCAGACAATTATTAAGAGAAAGTGAAAACAATAGTTTTCACTATACCTTTCACGGATACTTCCAGTGGACTGTCGTCGTAAACAGAAACAACAATTTGAGCCGATTTATTTACTCGGCTTAATGAGGGAATTTTCGACAAGCTTGGTTTCCGATCCAAAATATGCTTCTTCTTTTTCAATTCCTTCTCCTTAAAAGTGCAAGAAATTCAGGAAAGCAATAAAATGTAGTAAAAAAAATATTGTTATATTTTCTTTCTTATCCTTTTAGAAACTTTTAGAGTAATATTAAGTCTTTTATCTTGTAAATTAGTTTTCACCCTTTACTGTGAAAAATTTCTTCCTTACCATATTAGCGAATTTATGGAAAATTGCGTCTGAAGGTTTACCCTATTCTTTTTCAGAGTTTCAGCCAATTGTTTCTCCTCTCTTTCCTTCTTCTGTTTTTCTTTTTCTTCGCGTTTTCGTTCTTCTTTTTGTTTTTTTTCTTTTTTCTTATCATCGATAATTCTGAAAAATTTTGGCATTTTCAAACTGCGAAAGATGATTTTTCCCATGCTTCTATAGCTGTAGAAAAATGAAATCCCTCAAGATTTGCGTATTTCTCGGTGTTAAAATATAACTGTATGTGAATTTATGCTAATAATCAATCGGTCTGATTAAATATTCAAAAAAAAACCCAGAATCAGTAACAATTGGCTTTGCTTCGACGATATTAACTTCAAATGGACTATCTGAAAATAAAAATTTCAAAAGTAAAATTTGAGTTGAACTAAACTATTAACGAAGTTTTAAGTTATAGATGATTGATTATAGATGAAGATGATAATCTCAATTATTTTAACAGGATGTACGTGATAATATTGCAATAAATAAACGCTGATATCACATACTTTTAAGCACTTCCTTATTGAACGTTATATTCACCGTATGCATACCCACTGACGTAGGATTAAATGTGACGAGAAATTTAGCTGTTCCAGATTCAAGTTGAGCAACATGCGATGGTATGATAACACCATCACTATCCTTAATGGCCATTTCAAGATTACCGAATCCAGCTCGACCGGCGTCAACTTAAAATTTCAAATGAATTTAGCCATTCCAGATTAAGCTGATATAAATTAAAATTTTATGATTATACCAACAAAAAATAATAAATATAGCGAATTATCACTATTGCAAAATAGGCAACCAAATTTTTCAGCTACAAATCTTGGATAGTAAATTGGATAATAATTAATATTAATTAGATAATATTAGTATCAATAGAAATGATAATAAATACAAAAAAAATAATGAACAACAATAAGATACCATTTAAAAACATTAAATATGCAAACACGAAATATATATTTATATAAGTTACATAGATGCAAATTACTTATAAGCGTAAAACAAAATATTAAATATAAACCATGGACTAACTAATAAATAAAAAACGAAAATGCTTCTCAAAATACCAATACCGAGATGAGGAAGTTTCTTTGAATGGAACAGAACTGTGGAATTAAAAATATGATTAAAAATCTTCTTTCAAGCACAATCCTTTCTAAATTTGGTAACATGGAAATCTTTAAAGGCATTTTCTCGATGAAAGTAGTTAACTGATCATTCATAACTTCCTAATATAAGCAATAAAAAATATCAACCATCAAGTAATTTAGCATAATTTCATGAAAATACCTGTAAATTCAACCGTGTCGTTAATGGTACTCTGCGGCGCAATTTCGCCAACAATTATTTCAGAGGCATCATAAACTCGAATGGGAAAAGGACATTGCGGATGTAGTACATCATTGACATAAACCATCACCTAATAGTAACAAATATATATTTATTGGCATCTTCTCAGAAGATCAACACAAAAAAAAGTACGAGATGCATTCAAAACAAAATAAAAAACTTGAAAATCAGATAAAAATTATGAAACCTTATGGGTTCCAACTTCCGTTGGTCGGAAAGATATTTCATAGTTGTGACGCGATTTTTTTATTTTTGGTTCAATTTCAAGTTGTTCTAAATTCGCCTTATTCGGGGCTATAAAAAAAAAATTTAAACTATTTCGAAATTGATAGGGTTTTTTCAGAGAATTCCAAAAAAATCCTTACGCAAAATGACGAATCGAAGCTGATCTTCTTTAGCTAATTTAAGAGATTCCAGTTTGACATCAACATCTTTACCTTTACGCACAACTTCATGTTTTGAAGTAAATTTCGATTTTCCAAAATCAAACACTTTTCCTTCTTGCGCTTGCTATTGAAAAGAAATTGATAAATAAGAAAGAACTAGTTTTCAGTTAAAATTTATTCGTTTAAATTTCATTAATCACCATTATTATCATCTAACAGCATACACCATTTCTGATGGCGCTTGACTCTACTGGCCATCAGAAATAAGATCCACAGTGACACTTGGCTGGCCATTAAAAATGAGATACATCCACAAATGACTTCCGACGACAGAAATACAGGTGAGCTCCAGTACTTGGATTTTCATTCACCAGAAAACCATATTTGGATAATTTAATAATTTTAGAGCAATGAAACTATAATTTTCAGCGACAGACTGACACTCAAGCAATTGAGGAATAGACCGCGAACAAACTGAATAGATTCTTTGAGTATCATTACGAGTCATTACGAGGTGATTTGCTGCCGACTTTTCATTCATCGAAAAGAGACAAAGATGAAAAGAGACAAAAAATATTAAAATATGATGAGCCTAACCTTTGCAAATTTTAAGTTCAACTTTGGAGTAGTTTTAGGCGTGGATTTTGGAGTAGTAGAAGTGCTCGTTGGTTTTGAATGCATTAATTCTTCATCCTTCTCGAATAAATTTTCTTCTCGTTGTCCATCAGCCATCGTCTCCAGTGTTTCCTACAAGATTTTTTAAAATGATTTTCATATTTTAAAGTTCTTTTCACTATTTTGGATATTACTGATGGATCAAATAGTTTAATTTAATTCACTTCTACAGTCATTAATTAAATATAAAAATCGCACAAATTAGTTGAAATCATTGAATATTAAGAGGAATTTGTAAAAGAAATCCAAAGGATTAACAAATTACGTCAAGATCCTCTTCCTTTTGTAATCGATGATAAGGTTTTCGATTCAATATTGGTGTTAGCGCTTCTTCAACCACATTACTTGAAATATTTCCTTCTGATTCATTAAATTCAAAGGATGACCTAAAAGGATGACCCTATGAAATTTTAAGTACGGAAACATCATCAAGAATATGAAATTAGGCAATCTTTAGACCCTCAACATTGTGAGGACATGAACTAGAAGTGTAGAAAATTTTTTAAAAAAAGCCACTGAATATATTTGATTGATATATTTTATAAATTTATTTATATATGTTGTAATAAAAACATGTGTAATTGTAATTGTAATTTAGTTATTTTATGCGAAATTAAGAAATTATCTTTTGATTACCTCATTTTAAAGAATTTATTCAAAATGAAATATTCAAAAATTAAATTATTATTTAGTTTCTTCCAGTCCCAAATACAATTCTAAGAACGTTGCCAGTTCAGTCTAGAATTGCTTTGCTGGCTAATTGGAAATTTTTGCTAAATAGTCGCTTTGCGATAGATAGGCCACCAAACGGATTTTTTTAATAATAGCTTCATTCTTGTCAGGGAAAAATTCCAAATTCTCTTAATATAATAACTCTACTCATTTTTGTCAACCATAAACATTATAAAAAATATCTAAATTCTTTAGTTTTCTCGAATAAGCAATCAAAGGAGGTGTTTTTCATGAGAAATAAAGGAGAAATAATGCTATTTATATAATAATGATGGAAGAAAAAGTTATAAATATTTTAAAAATACAAAAAATAAATAATAAATTTATAAAATAAAAAAATATTTTAAAGAAGAAATCGATTTATATTAAATACGTTACGGAATTTAAAATTCGATAATTAGGTTTTGTAAATTCACGCAAAAATTTTAAGAAAATATTCATGGAATGTTGTTCTGACAAAAATTTCAATTCATCTCGATCGGTTGCTTTTTTTAAAATAGAAAATCAATGAAATAGAAATGATAAAAAATTATGAAAAAAATTTTTCTTTCCGGAATGATGAGGGAGAATTTCAAAAGAAAATTATATTGATAATATTATACAATTAAAATTTTAAAAAATATTTTTTATTTTCTTCGTAAATCGTGTGAAAATTTTTAGAAATTTTAATATTTATAGGTGAAAATTTTATTTATTAAAATAATTTTTTTTTTGGATAGCGCTTATCATTTCTGGTTAAATTCTGGCTTGGACAAATTTAGGAAGTTCCTTGGCGAGAAAAGTGCAAGGGTTGCCTGCATAAACGCAAAAAAAGGTAATCTATTTGGAATTTATTAGCTAAAGGTGACTTGCGATGCCATAACCGTTAAGCAAATTACTAAATCGTTGAAAAAGTAAAATGGAATTGCTAATAGTTTAAAAATTAGATTTTAAAGGAGTAAAAAGAAATGAAACGAAAAACTGAAAAATTGAAATTTAAAAGAAGAAAATAGAATTGACAAAATTTAGAAGGAATAAATGAAAGGAATTTTAGAAGCGTCCCGCAGTTCTCTAGCACTGAATGATTTAAGAGGTAGAAAAATCAAAAAATAATCTGAAAACTCAATAAATAAACATTCATAAAAATATACTTATCAGTAGGTGATTTTACTCGTCCGTGTAGATCGTAAATGCGATTTTCGTCGCCCTGAATTCGCATAGTATCTGCAACTCGTTGAGAGAGCGTCGACATGGACGATGGTTCCATTTCTTTTGATCTAATACAACAAGTATTATCATTCGATTTTTTGAAAAACTAGGACAAATAAATCGCTTTAATACAAATCCACAATTTATCAATCACTCTTCCCAGCGAATATTTTATCAAAAAAGGACTAATTTTAACGATCAAACAAAAGCAATTCGAACCATTAGTCGAATAATGATTTTAATCAAATAATGAAAAAAATCCATTTAATTTTAAAAATTTCATCTAAATTCTCAAATATTTATTAGAAAGTTACACACAAAAAAATATATTAGCAAAATTTCAATTGAAAATTTTGAAAATGTTTTCAAAACAATTTTTTAAAACGAAACGAGAAATATAGTGTAATTTAAAAAAAAGCAGAATTCTGTGCGATTTGCCATCAGTTGCGCCATACCGATGGAAATGTGAAATGAATGAACGTAGTTGCTAACTTATGACAGGTTCGATCAACTATATTCCTCTCTTATTATAAATTAATGGCGAACATAAATGAAAGAAAGAAAAGTTAAGGGACTAAAGAATAATTTTAAGGAGTAGCTCGAGGCTGATTTTATTCTTCCCTATTAATTGCCTTAATAGAAAATAAAAATTGCAGTTCTATGGCTCTCAAAAAAGAACGCACCACTACTTGGTCCCGTGCACCAATATTAATTAAGTTTGCAATAAATTATCGTAGAATATTTCCCTTGACCCTAATTCAACGATAAATACTCTTTTTTGAAGAAAAAAAGTTTATTAAAATTCATATTTATCAAAATTTTCATGTTTCGTGTTTATTTTGATAGAATGGCGCTAAATGTACTAAAGATCTGGTTTTCTAATGATAAGGAATGGTTTACTCTTGCAAGATGCCGAAGCATGAAACTCTATATAATAACTTAAGCAATGCATCATCCCGCCATATCGTACGGATTCTTAAATGAAAAAATATTAAATTTTATGCCTATCTTTATATTTACTTTTATAAAATATACCTGGAAAGAACCGATTCCTTCTCATTTTCAAATTTTCTCATTCTTTCATCTGTGATCCGATCGTATGATCCATAATCGGTCCTTTTTTGGTTTTTGTAATCGGGAGAAAACTTGTTGCTAAATTGTTCATCAGGTTTCTTATCATGATGGTCTGGTTGATATCCATCGGAAAACTGCCAATTTTTGGTCGTTGGCTTAATTTCTTCAGATATGCCTAATTTCGAAATTGGTTCAGACTGAATCATATGCGGGTCTTTGTCCTTTACATGTTTATAGTCATCATAAGACGATGTGGAATAAGCTGAATCTTTTAGATTATCAGATTTTCGAAGTTGACCATTCGAATGTATTTTAGATGGATCAAATGTACTTTTCGAATAATTAGTAGATAAAGAGCCCAATGAATCAAACTGATCAGCGCTTGATTGCCTGTGAATCGAAGAGTCATGTGGCTCATAACTGGTGGTTATTTTACCTACATCAGACGCTACAAATTTACGAATATCTTTTTTGAGGGAATCATCAAAACAGTGACTCGGTTCTTTCCCCGTTTTTTTATCACGGTCGTTTTGTGTGAAATATCCATAACTATCTGTCCTCTCTTTCTGAATTCCATAACTTCGACTATCTGTGACGAAATCAGTACTTTCAATTCGAGGCCTTTTCGGATCACCAAGTGTTTGAAGGGATGGTTTCTTCTGAGGAGCCAATCGAACTTCTGGTAAATCTGGATCTTTTCGAAGAACGTTTGGTGGAATGGATGATATGAACGGCTGAGAACCATAAGATTCTTTGTCAGCGATAGTATATGTGGGTTTAGATGGTTCATATAAGTGCATTTCTGAATATGCAGTGGGTGTTTTTTCATGTACTCCATCCGCCAAACTCGAGACCGTTCCTTTCGTATATTCATAAGTTCGAGAAGGAGATATTGTTCCATATCGAGTTTCCGAAGTTACAGTTGACGTTATCGTTCCGCGCCCGTCATCTAAAAATGTAAATTAGACTGTAATAATACAAGCAATTTTAAATGGAATTTAAACCGATAATAAAAGCAGCACGATTTTTTCCTACCGGCAAAACTACGACTAGTGATTGTTCGCCCAGTTCGTTCACCACTACCATTACCGTATTTTGCTACAGTGTATCCAAGTCGACTATCATCTTTATCGCCATCGAATATAACGTCGCGATCTTTATCATCAGATCTTCTTGACCTGCAAAAACTAACTGCTTAAATCCACAAATTTCATCCAATCATTGAATTCCTGTCCTAACTTAAATCAAGAAAAAAACTGAAATAGGAAAAAAATTATCCGATTTATTAATTTATTACAAATTATAGCTAAACCAGCGATAAATCTTTTACATATAAAAGGCATAATTTCGTTTTTCGAAAGTCTCAACAGAAAAAGTGAAAATATTTTTCATTTTTCAACGATTTGTTTCTACATTTATAAATTTTATAATAATAATGTATTATATTGCTAAAAAATATTTTAAATATTTTAAAAAATTAGAAACAATATTTGGAAGGAAGATTTAAGGCATAATTTTTATGAAAATTTAAAGACAGTTCTGAAGACTATAGAAATTTATTTAAGAATGAACCAGTGAGAATGCCAGACGTCAATATGTGATACCGAATTGATAATATCTAATGTGCCATGATGTTAGGCTATAGGGGAGGATTAAGTTGCGCTTGCGCAGTTATGACTTAACAAAGTGGTAGATATACTTATATACTTTGGACGTTCCAAAGAATGTATGAAATTTAAAAAATGGCTTTAGATGACATAATTTCTTACTTCTACTAAAAACTTTTGCAAAAAATCCAGAACGAACGACGGGTTGACTGAACTAAGCAAACAAACAAAGTTTCGAAAGCACATCGACTGATTTAAAAAATCAACTGATTTAAAATGCAGTGAGTGAATAATAAAACAACCGATTAATTTCGAGAAAATTTGTTAAAATTTAAGGAAACAATAAAGTAGAATAAACGAAATCCGATATTTTTTTTAGTTGAAAATCGCAAAAAACTCGAGAAAAATCAAATAACTGACCTATCGATGGTGTCACTTGGCGATGGGTGATGTGGCGAAATTGCTGCCTGTTGCGAAAGCGATCTCGAACCCGGCGATATACCTTCATCCCAAGTTGAACTAAGATTGAATTTTGATAAAATTTGTGGCACGCTTAAGCTAACAAAAAGGTTTTGAAATAAAAATTATTTCACGTAGTTTGTTGCACACATTCGCAAACTATCAAACAGAAAAATTTTTAATTAGAATTTCTAATTTTTAATAAATTGATAAATTTAAAAATTGATAAATTTGAAAGGTTTTTTTCGATACACACTAAGACTAAAACTTCCTTTTGCTCTGAATCACTAGTTTTCGGTAGAAATTCTACTTAAAAATTACCATTTCCTTAAATAAATCAATAAAATTAATGAACCTGTAAGTGTGGGTTTTAATTTCGCTCCTCTGATCGACTTTGCGTACAAGGATAGGAGAACGTGGATGATCAGAAGGAACTGGTTCACGTGAACGCTGTCGAACATGTTGTACTAGGCTAGGTGAAGCTGGTGAACTAGTTCGACCTTCCGGTGGCCTTAAAACTGCACCGGAATCATGAACTGGAACAAATCAAATCAAATATATTGTAAATCTCCATTTTACAACATTTTGTTTACTGCTTTCCTTTTAAAATTACAATTACACAATGTTCTACATGAAATGGTTACTAGATTGTTTTTATTAATAATGAAGCATTGTAACATCATTAACAAAGAAATAGTATATTTTGTAGTGATTATAAATCGCATTCAATTTTAATAAACGGAGTTTAATATAAGTATCTTCCCTCATAAAATTGCTAAAAATGAATATTTTATTTTTCAGCCAAGATTTTATCAATTAGCTCACTGATAATCAAAAAAGCTAATAAGATCTGAAAAAATATTTAAATATATAAAGATATTTATTAACTATGCAGTATTATCAAAATCGCAACAAAATAAAAAAGATTAATAACAAAGGAAATGGTGCCAAATAATTGAAATTTAAGCTACCAAACTGTGTTTATAAACAAAATCACCAAAAATAATACAATAAAACTTAAAAAAATTTCACATCTTTGAACGATTTAAGAATAGCTTTGCACCATAAACGCGGAATTTCCCAAATATTGTCCGCGTTTGAACAAATTCTACAATTAGAATTCTACTATTTTGACTTCAATGATTTCCAGGAAAAATTACTAGGACGATTTGAAATGAATGAAGACTACAAATTTATGAAACTAAAGACTTTTATAAAAGTAGTATCCAAAATTCGATCCAGAAAATATTTTATAAAATTATTTACACTTATATACACTTTGTTATTTACATGCACTTATACATTTAATTTGTCTAAGAAGAAAAAAAAAAATCACTAAATTAAAAATAATGAAAACATGAAAGGCAACTAAATTTACTTGATTTATCATATTTCTATTTGGCGTATTTGGGGCTTTCTTTATGCTCCCAAATGATTATTTATACAAAAATTTCCACGAATATTCAAATGGAATGAATCTAACCAAAAATAATGCCAACGCCTATTTATTTCCAACAATAATTTAAATTATTTAAATTATCCGCAAATTAAATCCACAATGTCCGTTACTAAAATTAATTTGGTTAATCGAAAAATTTGAAAAGCAATGGACATTTCAGGAATAATTTTCCAAAAATTTCTCTAATTGTAAATGAAAAAAAATTTTGCGTGAAATTTTTTTTTGCGATTTAAATACTTTTAAAATCATTACAATGTTTTCCATTTCTATTTGTATACAATAGAAATGGAATAAACTTGTTTTTAATAAACTTGTTTTTTGAAAAAATGGAAGGTTGAGAAATTCTCTGCTTTTAATTTAGTTGTAAGAAAAAAAAACACCAGAAAAGGATTTGATGAATCTCAAATCCTTTTCCATCTGCGGTTATATAAAATATTTTTATAGTATTAAATTATTATACAATACGTGAAGTATGCACTTCCCTTTTTAAAATTCAGTAATGGCAATGTCGATAATAATCACTTAATCCTTGTATGAAAAACCGGAATTCGCCTTTCCATTTCAAGATATTTCTTCTCAAATTTAAAATCGATTGCGCTATTGAAAACGGAAAAAACAGCATAACAACTGCAGAATAATTAATAAATGCCTAATTCTATCATTCCTTCTTTAGCACTTAAAAAACAAGGAAAATTTTCCCAAAAAACTGATATCTTCTTGATGGAATAAAGCAAATTATGAATTTTAGAACTAGATAAACTATGATTTAAAAATTTTGAATCTTTTGAAAAATCTACATATTTTGCAGTGAACTGGCCAGCTAAACCTATCTGAGTGATAAGAACATAAATTATTGCGGTTTAAACCTGAATTAAATAACGAAGTTTTACTGCGGATTAAATGTTGCAATTTTTACGAAAATATTCGATTTAATATGTTCATAAAAAAAGGAAAAAGAAAATAAATATTAACCGCTAAGGATAGAAATCTAATTATAGCAAATCAGGACCAAAATAGTCGAGTGGTTGTTATTTAGACTATCATTCCGAGAATAAGGTTTCGCGCCTATTTTCTTGACAGAAGAACGTATAAATAAAAAATCCGGATACCCAGTGGTGATTCTGTTCTTCTAACCACGACTAATTCTATGAATTATCTCATTCTGCTAATAGCCAGTAGAGCGAGTCTAACTGGAAATAATAAGCACTAAGCACTTACTTTTATTTGCTTATCATAGCAGCTAGATAGTATAACTTAGTAGTAAATGATAATAAAACTGAAGAAATAATTACTAGAAAGTCGAAAGTAAAAACAATGAAAATTCAAATAAATCAACGGTGCAGCAAAATAGAATTATATTATATTAGAAATGAAAAAAAATTCAAAAATATGCTTATCTATATTACAACATTCGACAAAAAATAATTATTAAAAAATGATGTGAAAGTTAATCCGTTTTAAAGATTTCTCGATTTTATAAATTTGTTCGAGATGTATTAAATAAATACCTGGAGGCATTATTGTAGTTGTCTGTTGAGAAACGATTGGAGTTGAGACACTTTTTCCAACCTGTTTGGGTAGAATATCCACTTGAATGGGGCATCCTGTAAGTTTCCGGCATAGAGAAATAAAGCTTTCAGCTTTCGAGAAAAATTTATGTTTAACATCTGTGGTTGTTAAAATGCGTGTTAAAACTATTAAATTATACCGGTTTCCCTTTTCCATGCCATTTAATTTACTAATTCGATAGTTTACAAAATTTTAATTCATTTTCCAGTGCCCTTCTAGCTTGTTTATTATTTTTAATATTTTAATATTTTTTTGTGCAAATGCTAATATTAATTTAATATAAATAGTCGATTACAGTCGAATGCAATTTAAAATTTATTTAAAATCATTTAAAATATATGAAATTAAGAATTGAGTTTTGATTCGAAAAAATTAAGCTCATGAATAAGAATGAAAAAATTCATTGCTATTTATCATATTTAACAAAATTTTGAAAAATTCCAAATGAAAACTTTTGAAGTGCTTGTGAATCACCTTGAACTTGTTCTCCATTGAATGTCACATCGATGACATATTTTCCAGGATACTGTGGTATGAACGTAACCAAGCATCGACCTGCACCTTGCATTTGCACATTGTTTGGTACTCGACCTTGGTTGACGCTAATCTCAAGTTGGCCTTTGCCCGCTTCGACAGCATCAACTGCAGGTACAACATATAGCTGAGATAAATATTTGCATTGTGAAGTATTCGAACTTTCTCTCATATCAGCTTGATTCCGCATCTTTTATAGCGTTAAATAATTGCGATACAAAAATAAGTTTTACGAGAATAGAAATTAATAAGTAAATAAGTATAATTCAGAAAGCGATCAAATTTAACTAGTTGATAGTTTCTTGAAGAAAATATTTTGGAAAGAATAATAAATATCAATATTTTAAGAACGCATAATTAAAATGCAAATAATCGGTAGTTTCGTCGAAATTTGATTTAGTTGTTATCAATAGTTATTTTGCAATTCAATGAAAATATTAATAAGAGAAATACAAACAAAAGGAAAAGTATGGAATATGATGATAATAATAATGATAATGATAATGATGAAGATAAATGTGTATATAGGAAATATGGGAGACGATTTGCTTAAAATAGGAATTAAGAATATGAAAGGAAAATCATCATCGGAGCGTTTCCATGGATCGTTTTAGGATCGAACGGCAGAACCTATCAGTTGAGAATGATGATATGAAACTCGACAGGATGCCGTTAGAACAACTAAAATACAACGTTTGCTCCGCCTCCTAGCATCAGTGTTATTGTATAATCGTTCGTCCACACCTTGATTCATTTGCCTATTGATTCGCGGTACTTGTCGAAATTATCCTAACAATACACATAGGAATCAAATAATCCACTATAATCATTCGTGCTAAAACTTGCATTCCTAAATAATATATCAAAGCTGTTGTCAACAACGATTTTCATGACACCTTTTGCTTTCATTCTATTTTGCATTTGATCGAAACATACAATCAAATTTATTTAAACTTCAATACTAACAGAGTTTTCAACAATGCAAAGTAGCGCGAAAAAAAATCACCAAATTTCAATTTTCTTTCGAGATTTTTTGGTATTTTGGAAATAAATAGATTTTCAAAACTTCTTAAATAATTTTAGAATTTCAAAAAATAATTAAAAACGTTTCAGTTTTTTTTCCAACAAATGAACGAATTCTATTAAAGTTCACATCATATTTTACATTATTCCGAACAAAAATGCCAGTTTCAGTTTTTCATTGAATCTCTCCGAAAAATATGAATTCAGTTCAATTTTAAATTCTCTTATTCAGTTAATGTCGACACTAATCCACAAATTTTAGAATTTCAACTTAGAAATTTCAACTAAACGAAAATTTTACGTTCATTTCTTGTAATACTCATTATTTCTAGTTAGATTTGCTTAATTGGCTATCAGATGTGACCTTTCGATTATCAGAGAATTATCAGAGTTGGTGATAATAACAAAGGTGGCCCTCTATTAGCACACTCACATTGAAATTTTGATAACAGGTTGGCTCCTTTTAAGAGCGGAGGCTAAACCATAATGAAAAAATCAGGAACATAGAAGGATAATTAATTTGCACAGCAACTCTGATTATAGTTACCTTCATAAATATTATTCTACATTCTACAAAACATCGACAATTGGCCAACAAATGGCATCAATCATGCCAATTTATTGAAAATGAATGAAAAAAAGGTTACAATGACCATGGAATGAGTATGAGTATATGTAAGAGAAAATTCTTATTTCATCTTTTAATTACTTTCAATCGCTCCACTAAGTCGGATCAAACAAATTTTGATATGGAATTATTTGCTGATGGAACGGTCGACAGCATTTTCAGAATATTGTGCAAGGTTTCTAGTTAAATTCTTTTAATTTTTAAATATTTTAATTAAATGCAAACCGTATTTAATAAGTTGCTCGATTTCAAAAAAATTCGGAATTCAAAAGTATTATAACTTTTTTAAATTAATTTCATATCCAAATGCGATTAACTTAATAACTTTTCATGGAAAAAACTATTTTTCTAATTTTAATAATCGTGAATTCTTTTTTTTTATAAATTTTCAATTATTCTTTTATTATATTTAATCGCGAACATTTACGAAATCTTACAAATTTCGAAAATTTCCATTTTTTTAAAAATTTCCAAAATCGTAAAGTGAAATTAAAATGGAATCAATAAGGATTTAATTATCAGAATGTGAACTATAATACTCTCTCTTTTATCAATATTTTGAAATCATCGAATTTCGTCGAAGTGTAAATATGCATTACTAAACTAAATAGCAAAAAAACTCACTAAATAGTCTAGCAAAAAACAAGAAAGAGCCTGGTAAAACAAATAGTATGAGATATGTTTTATGCTTATATTATTCTGCGATGAGCCTCAGCATATTTTATAAGAATGCAACCAATGTTTTCTAGTATAAAATGTTAGGATAAATTACCAAAAGAATATCATTCAGTGATCAAATAATCAATTATTTATACCATTCGCAAGCGTTTATGAGAAATTGTGAGAAATGAGTAAATATGGAATCATTTTATAGGCTAAAAAACTAATTTTTCACTAATTGTGATTCAAAATTCAACGCGAATTTAAACAGTAAACAGCTATATAAAAATATAGATATATAAAAATTCAATACAAAAATGTCGAATGGCTTATGAGTTTTAATGGATAATTAAGATAAGAATTTCTGATGGCATACACAGGCGAAAAATTTTAGAGATACAGGAAAGAACCACAACTGATCATTGTTAGAAATGCTTTCTTTGTTTAGCGAAACTTTACGGAATCATTGTAAAATCGAACGGGTCACTACGAAAAGGCAAAACCTAACTAAACGACTGTAAAACATAGCCAATGACAGATAAATCCATGCATCTTCGACTCTGAGGCCGAGGTAAATTCTACACTGTAAAAAAAATTTTACATATAATCTCATAGGCACTTCAGTGAATATCATATGCATTGATTGTTCCACTAAAAACTGCCACACCGGTTAGGTTATGTTTTTAATCGTTTTGTGCATATTTAGCCACATGCCAAGCCATATTCAAAAGCAATCGGTCCCAGCGATCATTGGGGTAATCCACCTAACAAATGCGAAATGTGGTTAAACGAAGGAATGTGACTTCAAAATATGGCATTTTACCATTTTGATAGTTATTGCAATCAGCCGAACCAGAAGTGGAGTCAAAAGATGAATCACTAAGGTATTTTTCTTCCACAGTATTCATTATTCCATGTTTGGCCTCTCCACTGAACATGAGAATGAAACCTTATCGCCAGAATCATTTGCAAAGTCACCTTTAAATATTCATTCCCGTCAAATGTAGCTGATTATAGTAGCTGAATGGAAGATAACTGATAATTATATACCAGTAAAAACGCAGTCCATTTCCAATCCAACGTAAAATTAATGAATTTGTAATGATAATTATATATATATCAATAGTGCATATCATAAAAAGCTTCATTCACAATTTTCATATTCTATTCCTGGGCGATGAAATCTCATTCTAGAAATTTGAACATCTCATATCATAAAAAATTTTAAAAAATAATATTTAATTAAAAATATGAAGAACTTCCAACAAACCACAAGAAAATAAAGAAGTTAATTATTTAACCAATTAAATCATAATCATTAAAATCATTTAGAGTAAATTTATGAAAACAATATGAAAAGAGATTTGAGAAAAACATTGGTCGGTTAGAGAATTGTGAAAATCACTTTCTTAGTAGGTATAAAATGCTTCCTATTAAAAAACTTTGCAGAAACTTGAAGAATAAAGTTTCATGCGTCTGCAAAGATGAAAATCAATGAAGTACATGATAATTCAAGAAAAAATTGATAAAATAAATTTCAACTAACCGAAAAACTGAACAGCTTGCCCAGGCAATCCACCACCAAGCGGTTCTATTTTAACGTTGTCTAGAGAATAACCAGAGATAAACAATGGATATGGTTCAGTTTTCTTGCCGCAAATTAACATCTCCAGGCGATGTTCGCCGACCTAAATCCATTCCAAATTCACTTCTCATCTTGATTTCTTAGGAATGCGAGAAAGTCATCAAGAGTTAATGCTTACATAAAAGATGATTAATATGTGAATATGTGAATTAATATGTGAAAATACCTTACCTTATCAATTTTGTATTCACAAACAAATTTATTTTCAGATCTTCTAATTTTTACTGGTACTTCCTTACCATATGGATCTGAAATAGAAGGTGGTAATAAGGAAAAGATAGATACAAAAAATATTAATTTGATAAAAATAATGATCTCATAATACAAAAAATTACCCCAAAATTTAATCTGAATATCATCTTTTTCGATACTATCACCAAAAATTTCAAAAGAAGTCAACTTCCCGACTGCTGCACGCTGCAGGCCGACACCAGATAATTCTATGTACCAAGATTCTTTTCGCTCCGTACTAAATTACAAGACTGAAGACATAAAGAAATAAATTATCTTTATAAAAAAAAATGGGCAGAAAAATGGATTCTATGGGCTTTTGTTGGTAAGAATTTCATAAAAAAACAAAAAAACGCATACATGGGAAATAATGAAATAAAATTTTCTACAAACAATTATTTTGTTCTATAGCTTTTTAAACGACTTTTATGAAACATATATACACGGTTTTTTTTGCTAAGAGCGTTCACCACTGTGTTAGATTTACTTCGCTGGCTTGTCGGACCAGATAAATTTTCTTAGACAGCTAATTGATGAATAACCCACTGAGCTCTCCTATCCCAATTCGGCGAGATTGCCGCTCAACGAAGCGTGGTGCTTTGGCCCTATTCGAACCCGAACCATTCACCATGCAACGTTGACGCTGACAACCATTTTGCCGCCGATGCACCAAAAATGAAATTTTTGTATACAATCTACCCATTTAATTCAACTGAATATCCAAGAAAAGAAAATCATAGTTTAATCAAAAATCAGGATGAAAAGATTCACAATAAGTAGAAGAAAAATTTTAATAAAAGGATTCAAATTCAGAAATACCTTTTACTTTCAACTTTACGTTTAACGTGATGTTCAATTTCGTATCGTATTTCTGGTTGTTGATTCTTTACATGAATCATCCATGGTGAAAGTCGGACATTCTCACCATTAAAGCGCATTTCGATAACATGAGGAACGGCTTGAGTGGGTGTAAAAGATGCAAGGTAACTACGCCCACCAAGCTCTCGAACTCTACATGGTACTCGACCACCATTGATCATAATCTCCAAATTTCCTGAGCCAGCTGCCGAGGCATCAACTAAAACCAATATTATGACTGCGATCATGAGCAAATATTTTTCTTTCATAGTATATGTGGATATGGTATATGGTATATTAATTCATTACGATGCAAGTCAATGACCATACTTTCGAAAGTGTAATCCTTGAAAAGTTGGTCGGCATCAATGAAATCAGGCATATTCCGCACACTTACAAGATCTGGATCACCTACGTTACATAAAAATGGACTTTCATAGATGCTTTGGTTGAATAGACAAACATCAATGGAATGTTCACCTTAAATTATTTTGTTTTCGTCTATTTTCGTCTGAAAAAGTTCCTTATAGCCTCAATGAAGTTCATGAAAGGTAAATTTTGCGCTAAGTCAAATTTGGACTCATTTAGTTACTAAATTCTTTTGATAACTAGATTTAAAATAATTGAAAGATGAAAGAAAAGATTACTTGACAAGTACGATTATAATAAAGACATCAAAATTTCTAGATAGATAAAAAATAAAAAATCCTAAAGAGAGTGAATCGAAAAATTTAAGGATGAACCAGTTTCTACTGCTTTCCACTCCACTTTATATGTTACATCGTCGGTCTGATATATGCGCGCTAATTTAGTTTTACCCGATGGTGCTGTAATTTATATTAAATAAAGAAATATTTTTCGAGAAAAAATATTTTTCGAGAAACTCCCTGTAACCGAATAAAAGAAAAACGATTTAATATGATAAACCAAACTCCATAGAATCCATAGAACTTTTTTTTTCTTATATTTTAGCAGCCATTTTAAATTTAATTGGCTTCTATTCGCTTATAATATTTATATTAATATTTTAAAAATATTAATATTTATATTAATAAATATTTATAAAATATTTATATTAATATTAATATTTATTTTATAATATAAAAATAATATTTTATTGCCAGATAGTGAATTAAATTGAATTGAATTATAGTTTGTTTCCCAAAATCATTTCGGTTTTACTTTCCAATGGTATTTATTCTTGTCAGAAATCCAAACTATGATTGGCAATAATAACTTTAAATAAATCTAATTAAATGAGAAAAAATTAAAATGAATACAATCCTTCAGAACCTGTTATTGTGACTGTGATATCTTTGGGATCTGCACCCACAGCATGAATCGTAAAGGTACTTAAGCGATCCACAGATGCCATTCGAAGATTATCACCATATACTGACAAGGAACTAGCATCAGCAATATCCAGTATAAAGGGTGAACCTATATTCAAAAAATAAAGACAATGAATGGTCAAAAAAATTCTGCTTCGCAAGCGAACTTAAAGTCTATTCTTATCTGTTTTTAAATATAAAGATTGCACCACTAATACCAATTATATGAATTATTTTTGAACGAAATTAAAACCTTTTACTTCCATTTCATTGAAAAGGACATGAATTTTATATTGTCCTGCACCATCTGGTGTGAAACTTACTCGATACAGGCCAGAATTTCCTTGTTCTAGGACATCACAAGGAAGTAATCGACCATGTCTTAAGACTGATACCTAAAAAAATAAACGTATAAATATAAATGCAATAAAATTTGTTGGTGATAGAACCGTATTAAAATTTAAAAAAACTTAATAATCTGGAAAAAGTACCTTGAATTCTGCATTATCTTTTTTTTGCTGGATTATCACCTCATTAATTTATAATATAACAATTTTTCAAAATTTTTGTATACATATACATTTTGTAAAAATGTTAATAGCTTTTTTCAAAAATTGTCTCATTTTTATCGAAAATTTGAGGCGAAATATTTAAAAAATTAAACAACAATGGAAACTATTCCATCGTTCTCTCTTTCCATCTAAAAATCAATTCTTGAAGTCTTTTTTTATAGAATCTTGCGTCTCTCGATTGGGGTTCTTCAAGGTCATTTTTTATATCCTCAAAAAAAATTTTTAGCTAAATGGTGTTGTGTGATATTCTCATAGAAGAGGCAACGTTAGTGATAATGTGGACACGGCAAAACTTCCCAGCGAAATTATTTGATTTTTTGGTGCATATTTCTTAAAAACTTGCTGTGATGTTGCAGAATTACCTTTTTTAACCGCTTTAGGCAATTTTGATAAGCTCTTAATATGATTAAGTTATCTGCGATGGATATCAGAGGTAATCGGAGGTTTGATCAGGTTTGAGCAACTCATAAAGAAATATTTTCTCTATTTTTCACCACACACAGCGCTTTTCTACCGTGACTGTCGGATTTACCGGCTGGTTCTGAAGTTTCGTCGGTATTAGTGATTATGACTAGAATTATCACATAATGCCAACCATTCATCGCCAATAACAATTCTGGTCAAAGGTTTCTTTTTTGCCTACAAAAAAGCAAAGATGTCGAAGATGTCAAAGATGTCAAATGATGTCGAAGAACGCGTGAAGTGGTGTGTGGAACCCAAACATCAGCTTATTTGCTGCTTCATGGCTTGAAGATAATCGAATATTGTTTCGCAGTGAAAAACTATATTTTAGCGATTTCATATAATGTTTTTTGCCGCACCAGCTCCTATTGTGGGGTACAGAAAATCCTTATCAAAGAAAAAAGATGTTTTGAAGGCCATCAGATCTTTGGGTGTCCTGTAATTGAAAACACCACTATCTTGAAGGACTTTGCGACCACTGCTTTCGGATACACTCATATATATTGTCGTTATATATTATTTACCAGATGGAATCCGATATCACAAACATTCCCAAATGGCACTTCACGTTCCATCACTGGGCCACTCAACAAATTTTCATCAAATTTAACTTAATGAAGCAGATAATATCAAACTATTATTATATAAACATAAGAAGAAATAATTTGAGCTTTTTTTATAAAAAACTACTTTACTGGAAACTCACTTTAGAAAAACACAATGCAAAACAAAATAAGTAAGATAGAATAAAAATATAAATAAAATAAAATATAAACAAAATAATTAAAATGAAGACAAATAGCTGTTCAATCTGTGCAAAAAAATGAACAAAGAATTGCTGAAAAAATGAAAATAAGCAACGCAATGAGATAAAACTACCTTGACTCTGCCTTCGCCAGCTTGAGATGCATTCACACTGAATTTCAATTCTTGTCCGACTAGTCCAACATCCAAGCCATAAACCTATTTATTTCGCATAAATTCTTATTTAACAAGTGTTATTCCACGGGGAATTTTGGAGTGTGAAGATGAATTAAATTCCAGAAAAGTTGATTTTAATCGCCAGCTAATTGGAATTCAATGAGTAAGACAAATTCGAGTAAAAAGAAATTTTTTTGAATCCCAATAGACTGCAAGTGAAAAATAAATGTAAAAAACAGTTCAAATTCCTGTTGCCTATGGTGTGAAATTTCTTTATTTCGTTACTTGGTAAAGCTTATGATGGATGGCGTCAAAAGTGAGGTGACCAATCAAGACCGGGACTGATACGGTCAGAAAAGATTTTGAATGTACAGGTGGACGAACAATATATAGACTTAGAAGATGGAAAAAGGAATGGTTTTCATTAATGTGGCATCAGACGGCGCCGCTTGGAAGCATCTTACCTTTGTAGCCGTTAAAGCCACCCTAACCAGTAATGGTGAGATCTGTTAAAAGAAGAATAGTGTGAAATTAGGATTACCTGCACAAGGTTGGCATCGTAAACTTTGCATGAAAATGGTGAGCCACGAATGTGTTCATTATTATATAAAATTCCGATCCTCCATTCCCCTAAAATAGAATTTGGCTAAAATTTATAAGATTTAAAAGATAAGATTTTATAAGATTTTAAAAATAAACAGAAAAATTTTTTAAAAAATTGGCATATATGGTGAAAAATCTTAAATGAATTTCGAAATAGATAATAATGATGATGAAATATTATCCCACGACAATGATAATAATTGACATTAAATGGGTGAAAATTGCAAAAAATCACTAACCAATTTCATTTGGAGTAAATGTTGCAGTGAATATATTACTCTTTTTGACAACCTGGCACTTTTTCAGGCGACCTGATGGTGGAATTGCTTCAACTATTACAGAACCATTCGATGAATCTCCATGAGCATTAATCTGATAGCAACATAGTTTTTAGAATTGATTAATAAAAAGGAAACGAATTAGTAACAGAATCCATGATCATTTTTCGTAAAAACACTAATAATAATTATGGAGGGATAGAATGGCTCAGTGGGTTGTTGCTCGATTAGGACTGCCGATGGTGAGGTTCGATTCCCCGCAGGGCTAAACCTGTACAAAAATCTGGCGACTTACATGTATTTCTATTGCCAAGATACTCCATGGCATACTGCTCAATGTGACTCAATCCCGAATCCCATAAAATTATAAAAAATATTCAATTGAATTACAAATAATTGAATTACAAATTACAAAATATATTTAAATAAATTAACCAAATTTGTCAATGTGACAAGCCAATGGAGCGAGTTTAACTAGTAATGGTGAGGACTCTTTCATTTTATTAGAATAATTTTCAGTTTTTGCAAAATTAAGAATATAAAATTATCCAAATTTTAAATTTTTCTATGATCTTATTAAAAAGATCTGTTTCAATTTCATTGTGAACTTCGGCTTATTTCCCCATTTAAGATTTAAATATGATGTTCCGAGGATTTTTTAACTTTTGTACTTTAAGTTTAATGATATTCTGTGGATGAATTATAGATATTAATTATTCATTATTCATGAATCATTAATTATTGTTAATTTACTGGCTACTCCTTATTTAAAGTAGCGTCTAGAAATTCTGTTTTGATGCAAACAGCAACCGATTGGAAAAAATTATAAAGCAATATGTTCTGCTTAAGTGAATTTTGAATTATGTTTTGCTTGACATTTTTAAAATAAAGATAATTAATTAAAAGAAATAGAAAATTTTGATCATCCTGATTAATATTTTATGAAAATTGCGCGAAACTTTTTGGAACTCTTTTTATATAATATGATATAAATATTATTGTTGAGATACATTACATGTTCTATTTTATTCGGATAAATAATCCATCTTCTTCTTCTTAAAAGTGCTGAATAAATTTAGATATAGCAATCAGTAAATTTAATCGAAAAATTTGCAAGTTTGCTTTTTTTGCGAAATATTCGGAAACTTTTCGGAAACGAAATCTTTCTTGCTAAGCAGCAGAAAGTGGAGCGAGAAATGGGGAGCGCTAATCGCTTTACTTATTTCCTTCTAATTATTCGAAATTTCTCATACCATCTTCAAAATACAAAAGCAAATGGAAATACACAGAATCCCATAAAATTATAAAAAATATTCAATTGAATTACAAGTATATTTAAATAAATTAACCAAATTTCCAAATTTCCAATTAGTTGTGAAAATTAACCAACGATGCTAAATTTGCAATCTAGGCCGACCTACATTTTTCATTTATTAAACTGAACTTTTAATTCATAACATGAATTTAACGAACCATTTTTATTGAATATGAAATTAACTTAACTAATGTCCTCGACATTTAAATATATAAATATATATATATATTTATATTTCATCCCACTAAATCAAAGAATTACTCGAGGTCATCTCTAAATAAGTCCATTCATAGCAAAATACTGACCGATTACTCGAGATCAGTTAATAATTCTATTGCTTAATTTACTGGCAAAATTTGTTTCATATTTATCGACTATAGCCCAATCAATTCTCTTTTTGTACCCCTTTTTTAAAAAAATCTGTTTTATTAGAAATTTTCGAGATAGGCATGAAATGCACCATATAAGAAACATCAAGTTGATTAGGATTCGATAACTCCATTCATATTTTCATGCAATAGGTTCAAAATATTCATGAAAAAACCTATATGAAGTTGTTACGAAGACATTTTTCTGGACATTTCTAGGTTTAAATTATAAAACTTCATTTAAAAAACTATTCAAAACTATTCAATTCGTTATTAATCCACCGAATTATAACCTACTAAGATGAAATAATCATAGGTTCGAATCTAGTTGGATGAGTAAACCTATCATTAATTCGAATAATTCGAATGGTGAGTTTAACTAAGAGTTTACAGCACTACTATTCTTAAGTGACTATCTGGCGGATGAGAACGAAATGGTATCAGAAGGGAAATGAATTAAGCGTTTCAGTAACCAAACCAGAAATTATAAGTGTTGTTAGAAGAAGAAAGAAGATCTATAATTAAATATTTTCCATATAATGTAATATTTTTAAGACCTTTCCAATAATTTCGTATTGCCATAGTTGGTGCGGGAATGATACTATATCTCACGATACTAAGATTTATCATCAAATGCTTCATTATTGTTATTGGATTGAGGAAAAAAAAAGGGAAGAAAAATGGAACATACAACAACTTCGACGATTGATCCAATAGAACATGGTTCATTTAAACCCGAAAATGATACATGACCAATATCTGTTGATGAATAAACATCCATTTCAAATTACTGGAGAAAGTTCAAAATATGAGCGACGAATGAAAATCTCAAAAAATGTCGAATACGTTTTTCGTTGAAATTTTTGGAACCTGTAATCAAAATTTTGAACAAAAATGAGCATTTCATTGCAATTTCAATGAAAAGCTGAATATTTGAGAACATAACATTTTAATCCTACAAAATTAAAAATAGCATTTAATCCTACAAAATTAAATGAAAATCTAACTGTGAGCCAATCAAAGTGAAATGGAAATTGGAAAGCTTGAAAATTATTCGCCAGTACCACTAACCATTAAAAGAGGTTCGCCCCTTTCTTCTAGAAATAAAATTGAAAAAATCTCGACAGTGCATAATATGACCGATGATTTATATACATTTTATTTCTAAATGATTCCCAGGTAAAATTTTCATATCCTTTCAATGTTTGCCAGTGCAGTGATCTCGAAAGTATTGGGTACTATCAACTTAATTATTTGCTAACCTAAAATAACCAAAACGCCTAAATTTTTGTACTCTGAAAATTGTTCACCAAAATCGAATCTTATCGAAGAAACGTCGTCAAAAAATAAATGAGCGAATTAATCACATAATGACAAAAAGTGCCAGTAGCGCTAGTTGAAGAAAATTCTAGGCAACCCGGAAATAAAAAATGTATATGAAAAAAGTTAGGACTGGTATATATTTGATGAATTATATTATATTATATTATATAATTCATGATCAAGCACAAGCATCGCTAAAAATCACAGTTATCGACAATTTTAGCTCGAGTTCTCTAACCATATAAATTGACGCGTATCTTATAAGCCTTGTGTGATGGCTGGCATCAAAGTCAGAAGGTCCATCAAAGGTACGGATTTATTCACTTAGAAGAGAGATTTTGAGCACTTCAGCCAAATATATGGCCTTAAATAGTGGAAAAAGGAATGGTCTTTGCTTCGTTCATATATTTATCGGATTTAAAGGCTTGAATTGCATCACCTCTATAGCCAGCATTTTAGAAGAAGAGAAGACTCTATAAATTTAAATTTCTTATATCGCGATGAAACCGGTTTAATTTGGATGGTAAATCCATTAGTACAGTTTTATTATTATAGGATAATATTATTGGCCGCCGAAGAGTAAAAATAAAATCTGCTAAAAAAAAATAATTCATCGAATTCTTTTCTTCTTCTTTTCTTTTTTCGCAATGAATTATGGTGAGCAAGGGAAATAACAGTGCTCTTGGGTAATATCCCGGCTTTTTCAGGATTTGGGAAGGATGGATATTCAAACAATCCTGCAAAATCCTTCAAAATATTGAATTTTTAAAATTTTTGGTTTTCCCATTGAGCAAAAAAAATTATTTTTCATGATTTTTCACACTTCTCGCAATATATGAACACACTGTAGTTGAATTAATTATCGATATAGAAATAGATTTTAGAAGGTTAGTAAACGTAACATGACCGTTTCATGAAGGACATTACACAACGTTTTAAGACAAAACACAATAGAATGCGAGAAAATTAAATAGGCCGGTCTTTTATGTTGATGACAACTTGCAACATGAAAGTCCATAATTATATCCATAATTTTGGTTCAAAATTGTAATATCCGCTAAGATGACCAATCAAAATTATTTCTTAATATACAATTAAATGCGAATTCTCTTAAATGATAATAGACAAAATGTGATAAAAGGATAAATCGAATATTAGAAAGCTTTCAGATCACCTTAAACAATGTTATGAATTATGAAGAAGAACCTACGAGGAACTAAAAAAAGTCGCAAATCCCAGAACATAGAACATTGATCGATGAATTTCTATTTCCTCTGTGATGTCAAAAAAAATTTCCTTTTTATATCAAACCGTTCAAAAAAAACCCATTAAAAATGGAGATTTTTATTTGAAAAATTGTTCAATCGGTCCTTTCGCGAAAATAAGGCAATTTCGTTTTTAAATTGAAAATTATTAAACTCACATTAAAATTAAATTTTGTTTGAATAAATACCCAAAGTATTTGGGTATTTTTTCAGGTATTTTGGGCATATGTGGTATAAAGATAAATTTCCACCTTCGCATTCATTTTTAATTTGGCTGACTGCATTAGGAAAAAAATGGCCATTAGGAAAAGGCCAGGAAATCATTTGTGGACACTAGAAGACAGGCGATTTCCCAGCACTACCGACATTTTGATTTAACTTTCAAAGGTTTTCTCCCGTAAATTGCCAAATTAGTTCAATAGCAATAATTTATTAACAACGAAAATATATAAATATAATTTAGAGAATAACGAATTTTCGTGATAACAATTCCGTAAAAAAAGATAAAATCATAAAATTTAAAGTGGATTTTAGATATTTTTTACAACTGAGTGTGTCACCTCGTATTTTTCGACGTATAAAACAAATCTTTGAATGGGTGCGATTTTCATTTGATGATTTTTAACAAATATATGATATTATTTATATTAAAATTAAGCAAACAGTTTTTTTAGATAAAACTGCCAAAGTTAAAAGTAAACAATAGGGTTGTTATTCATCACTAAGAATTCCATCGAATTCCATTCTCAAATCATGAAAAAGCAAAGAAAAAGAATTTAAGAAAGATGAATTATAAATGTCACAGCTAAAGAAATTATCGTAGAAGTTAAAATGAGAATCGAGAACTGAAGGAGAATTCGAGTTCGATTCAATTATATGAGAAGCGAAAATAATCTCAGGGATCCAGAACGTCAAACATGTGCAGAAATTGAAATGGAAGTGTATTTCAAAAAAACAAACATCCGAAAATTGTGGATAAATTGCTACAAAGATTTATATTGCCTGAACAGCAACCAATTGTGTTCCTATCTTCTTATATGTCTCCTTAATGAAGGGATCATCACAACAGCAGGCACAGCCAACTAAAATAGGAATGGCGAGTGCTGTCAGAAGAAGACTGTTTAGATACAATAGCATTTGTTCTCATTATATGTGAAATAATGAGAAATAGAAATAAACTATAGCAGGAATTTGGCTAAATTATATAAGACCAGCATGCTTGAAAAATTTTTAGGCGACTGTTTTTGTAATTCAAATTTCAACTTCGGTAGACTATTTAATAAGAGAGGAAAATATTAAAATAATAGTTTCGATTAAAATAATTTGCAAAGGTTTACTTTCCATAAAATTCAAGAAATTCCAAAAATCCATCAAAATAAGTGTTTATTTATTGTATTAGTATAAGAATTGCATCAACATTAACTAAGTTAATAATTTCTTAGCTAAAAATATCACGAAGAGATGAATTCTTCATTTTTCTGCGAACAACATATCCTTCTCATTTCACTCACTGCTAAATAACTTGGAATAAAAATGGGATATATTTGAGAATTAGTTAAAAAGTTATCAAAAAATCAATTTTAAATTGACACCTATAAGCAATTACCATGGAAGCAATTCAGTAATAATTCATTGAAGAACCACTCTAATAACCGATTCCGAATTAGGAAACGGTAAAAAAGAAACAATTTATGCGATTATCTGCACGATTTTTGCCCAAGGCAAATCGTATCAATCGCATTTTACAATGGTTTCAGAAATTTGGAATTTTGCGATTATCACTCATATAGCAATATTTCTATTAATATTAAATTTCGAGCTTATTTAAAATGAAACAAAGTGAAGCAACGATTTAATAAAGAATAAAAAAGAAAAAGCAAAAAAAGTACGTATATGATTAGCACATTAACTTTTCTGATTAGGCTAGTTCACCCTCAGGGCGATTACAAATTCTTGTCAGGGAATCACTTGGCGATAGAAGTACAAGTGGACCACCAGCACCATCTGAATTTTTTAATGGCAGATTTACTGCCATTGGCAGAGAAGCCGGACCTCTCTTATTAAGACAGTCAGAACCAAATAACATGCGCGTTCTCTAACAAGAAAAAATGGTATCAAAAAAACCTAAATTAATATCCTCTTATCCTTAAATATGCGATGCTTCGTAAGTTAATTACATATATTAATTATGGCAATTTTGAGAATTATTTTGAAAGATTTTTTAAAGTCATATAAACCATGCTCATCATGCCATTCATGCCAGTGTTGTGGTTATAAGCCATTTATAGAAACACAAAGTAAAATTGTTTCGATTATTAACTGAATTTTTTCGCGTATTCATCAAAAAGTCTTTAATTTCTATTGATCCTTTATATTAATCCTTTAGCAAAATATATGGAAAAAATTCTAAATTTAAAAAATTTCAAAAACGAAAAAACACACTTCGAATCCATTCAGTCAATAACTTATCGAAAAAATAATCATGAAACATCAGTTGTAACTCTCAAAAGAAATCGAGAAAATAAGATAAAGAAATTATTAATAATTATATATTTTATCAGTTTTGCCACTATCATATCGAATAAATTCTTAGATATTTCTTAATAAAATAGAAGATTCTACGAAAATTGACAAAATAACATGAAAAGATGATTCAAAAAACAGTGATTAAGCAAGAAAAAATTAGCAAATCGTTTTCTCACAATAAACTGATTGTGGAACGCAATTTTTTAAATCGTTCTATCATCGCTATACCTACTGAAAGAAATATATAATATGTACGCGCAAAACTGATAAGATCACCGGAGCCAATAATAGAAATAATCAAAAATCAAGAAAAAAGTACTATTTTTCTTTTTCTTCTAAGAATTACTACACAAGATTGGATTCAACATATTTAAATCTGCCACTTCCTCATTTAGTGCCGAACTTATAGAATTCTTAAATTGATAAAATAAATTTATCAGTTTATCGAATATTATTACAGAATTATATAATATCGGGAAAAATCATAGAATTATCCAAAATATAAAATTTTAATAATGCGAGAGACTAATAGTTTCAATAGAGCAATTAAACAGTTCCACACTGATTCGTTTGACATCAATTCTTCAAAAAGATTAGCCGATTAATTGGACGATATATCTTAAAGTAACCTAGAAAATGGTTTTATTATTTAACCAACTACTGCCTA